CTTCCCGATGCTAATGGATCCTGTCCTCATCAGCATGTGCTGCCTTTACTCTTTGAGTAAGAGGTGTGCTCGTGCTATCCAAAAAAATATTGTTCCATCTTTTTCATTCTTTACTTTCGTGATTTCCCTAAATGTACGCGAGGCCGCAAGCTGTAGCATCACTGACTCGGCGTCCTATTACTGCAGCACCTGGGTCTTGCAACCTGTTAAAGAGAGTACCCCGATTCTTGGCCTGACACTTGCCTACAATGCACAGCGTCTCACATTTCACAGGTTGCTCACCTTTCTTGTGTCCACGAGCTATAGATCCCTGAGCATGTTTGGTTGCCTTGACAGGGACGTATTCATCAAAGCTGATGAATCGGGCTGCCGCACTTTATGTGTTAGCTTCTGGGTTACATCTGTACGTCTATTGTTTGAGGTTGTATGACCTTTTTGTCAACTTCTTGACAGAATAGTGATGCTGTAGAAACAATGGTTCAAACCTGCTTCGGTGCTGCTGCAAGGCTCATCGCTACTACAGGTATTATTTCTGGATACAGTCTGTTGACATGGAAGACTTCTTTGTTTTGTTTGTCCATGGGGTTGTCAGGTATTTGTAAGAACGCCACCCTGGAAACGAGAGATTAATTCCCATGTCTGAACAGATTTCCTGCTTTGTTCCCTTTCTGTGCAGTTTGCTTTTGTTTTGTGTTTTTTATTTAACTCTACTGATCCTATAGGCTTACTTTTCGATTCCTCAGCATGCAGATACAAGTAGGCAGCACACGAACGCACGCATTTGTAGCCCCAGTATCACAAGCGTTATTTGTGTGTGTGAAGGAGGGGGGCGTGTGCGTTTCGCTTCTGTCAGTCTTGATACAGACCAGTGATTTTCAGAGCTGGCGACACATTCCGTTAAATTAGCCCAAGGCCGACTGCAGCGCTGACACCGGGTCAGCTTTTCCTCATGTGCTGAATGATCAGAAGTCAGATTGACTGATGGTAATATAATCCTCCAAGCACTGGCGGGGGGATTAGTGGAAATGAATATGGCAGAAAGCAGTAATGTTCTCACAATAGATTAGGCCTGTTGACATGTGTATGTAGGAACATGATGAAGCCTCACATAGGATCTCTCTGTCTTTGTCTCAAACACACGCAGTGTGTGAGTCAGTCTGCACCAACGGGTTGTGTTATGGTTGTATTCCCGTATGAACGCAAGGTTGCCGATGTCCTTTTGCAGTTAAATTGCCATCCTGCAGCAACTAGGTCACTGTTAATAGAGGGATTTTCTGTTTCATGTGGTCTGTGTATCTGAGGTTTTGGTTGGACTCTGAATGAAGTACATAATGTGAATTTCATTGTATGCAGATGACAACAGATTTAACACAGTCATCTTATCTCAAACAGATTGCATGCGATTGCCATTCAGTCACAAACTGATAGCACATCAACTCCATCTTATTGCTCTTTTCTTCCCATCTTGATGCACCAATATCTGTTTTAAAGACAGAACTGACTGCAAGTCGTCATAGGATTGGTCGCCATCTTCAGGGCAACCAGTTAAAAGCAAACTTTAAAAAAAAAAACCAACCCAAAACTGATATTTCTCCTTGTATAGAAAGAAAACAAACAACACACACAAAGTAAAGTCAAAGCTCCCTCAAGCCTGTAATAGCTCGTGATAATGGCTTGCTTTATTTTTAATCACTGGCTTTAAACAAGTTAGCAGTTGTCCCAAGGAGGTGCAACTTAATCCAGGGTTGTTGGCCCCACATACAGTCTAATTGTATTGTTTAACGGCCCTAACGGCACGCTTACGCAGTCCTCACACACACACACATGCACACACACCACGGTTTATTGGGTCAAACGATGAGGCGAGTGAAGCTGTGTACGACTTTATGTTTGCCCCCTTTTTTTCAAGTGTCTGTAGCTGTCATCTGAAGAATTAGGGTGCCTCTAATAAAAACTGAAAGTCAAAGGTCAGGGGAGGGTTGGCATGACAACAGACATGGATTTGCAATTGTTGCGGTGATGAGAGTCGACTGGAAAGCTGGGCGTGCATGCGGTTAAATCCGGGGGAGGGGGGGGCAGACAAATCGAGAGTGTGCGTGTTTCTGAATGTGTGCTAATGTGTGTACCCCTATTAGAGAATGCCACACAATACCAATGGAAGGATAAAGACATTGTTGAGATTCCATAGAGCAAAGACTCAAGGACAGCCGACTGTTAGCAAACTCAAACAGGATGCACAGACGCAAACACAGATAAAGTGTGTTGAAGGGATATTCCTGGAGCAGCTGGAGGTTTTCTCCTGGGTTTTGATGTGTGTTAACTACAGGAAGTGATGCGTCTTGTTGCAGGAAATGATGCAATTTAGGACACTGGGCAGGATATGAGTTGTATCGTGATTGTGTGTCTGCTAGGCCACCTGCACAGAGGTTTTCACTCAACCTCGCAGCAACTACAACCTTAAAGTTAATTTCATGAACTCCGCAGGTACCTCTTTAGTTACTATCAGAGTGTTAACAGTAAATGTACGTTCGCTACTTCCCACATATGCTGTACTCCAATAATCCTGCGCCTCTATTTCATGTATTATTATTTTTGATATGTTGTTGGTTAGTACATTTACACAAGGGAACCATGGAAATGATTAAAAAGGTGGAATTTACAGCAACAATCTTAGTAACATTTTATATCATATTTAAAGCCAAACTATGTAAAAATAACCTATAATTAACCTTCATGTAGCCCATCCTCATCGTCCTAAATCCAAGTCTGCAGACATGACGTGCCCGTGTGTTTGCAGTATTTTTATTATAGTGTTTTTCCCACATGATGTTAGACATGCTCATAGTATCGTGCCGGCTAATATTGGCTGTGATAATTGCAGTTAGGGTGTGCAGACAGCATTCCCAGACAGGCTTAGCGAGTACCATAAGCTCACTCTTACTTTTGCCTTTGCTGTTCTTCCCTCGGTCTCACCGAGGTTGCTTGTGTGGCGGCGTTTTAATCATCAGAACATAAGTGCAAATTGCTTCACAGCGTAGTGTGAAATGTTTTTTAATATGCTGTGTGTGTGTTTTTGCATTCCACCTCTGCAGGACTGAACCTCTCGGTTAATTAGAGACCTGTTACTCACCCCTACTGACAGGCTTTCTTTGATGTTTAAAAAAAATCTTAAATTTAACAAAGTTGATTTTCACTCTGCTCGTTTTTCAGCTCAGTTAAGTAATCAGTTATCTGTTAAACAATATGTACGTAGCAATTATTGTCAAAATATTCTCAAAACAGCTCAAAAACATTGAAACAAGGGTAAGAAAACGTTGGAAAAGTAAAACAAAGAGCTGCAGGAACGGTTTTAAAATAATTAGGTTAGCTGGTAACAGATCAGTAACATGACTGAAAAAAAAAGAGAATCTTAGAGAGGCAGAGTTTTTCAGATGCAAAGATAAGCAAAGGTTTACCAATCTGCAAAAAAACGATGCCTACAAATTGTAGAAGAACTTCAGAATTGATTGATTAGTAATTTATTTCAACATGTGAACAATATACAAGTACATTTAGAAAAAAATACTGTACAAATTACATACAAAAAAAAATATTAATTTACATGTTGAAAGGGAGTGGGAAGAAGTAAACACTTATTTAATCCCACCCCTTTGCCATAAATTATCAGTTAATATTTAGTCAGCTTCCTTACTGATATAATTTGTAATAAAAACAGTGATCAGATTTCTGATATACTATAATATCACATCATGAGTTGTTTTTTTTGTTT